TCTTAATTAGTTTCATATAGATATAAACAAATCTTGAAGTATTGTGTTTCCGTAATTGATTATCACTGCAGATGTAAGTTCAAAGACAAGTATAAAAAGTACGTCTATTAGAGCCCTTGATAGATAGCCGTTTTGACTGACATAAACACTGTTAGAAATTACCTACCAAAACTCATATATATGAGTGGGAACAATAATCAACCTTTTAATACAAAGGAGAGCAACACATTTGTTAAATATAAGAAATGTAAACATAGAACAATGTATATACGACTCACATTTTGCTAAGGATCACCTATATTTTGAAGAAAAAAAATCAAAATGTTAGAAAGGATATCATGTTTTCCTTCCGTACTGTTTTGGGCGAATATGTTAGCCTTCCAAATCGTCCTGTATGTGTGTGTTCAGTTAAGTAAGGCGTCGTTCAAATTGCTAAGGAAATCAAGTTGATAAATGACGGTGAAATTAAAAGGGGCATCGGAATGCTGCAAGCTAGCATATTTCAACGTCAGGTTGCAGCAGACCGCGGGGTGTCTCAAAGTGTGGTGGCAACAATGTGGAATCGTTTCCAAACTAACGGAAACCCTTCCAGACGTCATGCTGGAGGTCGTTCTAGGACTACAACGCAGCGCCAAGACCCATTTTTGCTGCCACCTTAATGCTTCTGGTAAACGGCTAGCCACTCGGGACAGTTAGGAACCGTCTTCGTGATGCTGGTTTAAGGTCACGTAGACCAGCAATACGAGTTCCCTTAACTGCCCGCCATGGGACCGATTAGATTGGGCCCAAGCTCACAGCACTTGGACTCTTCAGGAATGGGAACCGGTTCTTTTTACTGACAAGTCCAGGTTCTGTCTCGACTTTACCGACAGGCGCGTTAGAGTATGGAGATAACCTGGGGAGATGTTCCAGGCAGGTAACGTTATGGAACATGACCGATACAACGGTGGTTCAGTGATGGTGTGGGAAGGCATAAGCCTTCGTCGGAAAACTGACCTCCATGTCTTCCATAATGGTACCGTTACGGCCCGGACTTACTGCGATGAAATCCTTGATGTCTATCGACCCAAATTTCATCTTTATGGACAAAAATGCTAGGCAACATAGAGCAAGGGTGACGGGGCAGTATCTACAACAACAGACTATTCAACGAATGGATTGGCCAGCCCGCTCCCCAGATCTAAATCCCATCGAGCATGTGTGGGACATGCTGCAGACAGCTCTCTCTGCCAGAAATATTCAGCAAAGAACGCTCCAGGAGTTTGAAACAGCTTTGGTAGCTGAGTGGAACGCTATCCCACAAAACCGGATACGTGATCTCATTCGGGGCATGCGCAAACGATGTGGAGCTGTAATTGATGCTCATGGGCGTCACACTCGATACTATAATTATTTAGGATGAGTTTTGTTCAATTTAAGATTTTTGGTGAATACCTCGTTGTTATCAATTTTTAGGGTAACCCTTTTCCTGTGGCTCATTTTCCGACTGTAAATACTATTTTTGGAATTTTTGCATGCTGATGAATTAAAAGAACAATTATTTTTTCTCAGTATAAACCAATCTCATTACAATCAGATGTTAATAAAAAAAAATACCTACTGCAGTGGCGGATCCAGAGGGGTTTTTTGGGCTTCAGGAAACCCCCCCACCCTGAGAATTTTCTTTAAAAATCATATATTTTCACCATTTTCCTCAATTTTTCCCCCCATGGAACCCCCCCAGATAGGTCTCTGGATCCGCCACTGTACTGTGCATGCGGTACGTGATAATGAACAGCTGTATTTATTCAGATTGAGTATAAAGCAAATAAAATATTTATTTTCACATATGCCCAAAAATAAAAGTGATTCTTAGCAAAATGTGAGTTGTATAATTATAAAGTAATCGATACATTTTGAAAGCCGACAGCGATCTACAAAAATATTTTCCCAATCTCAACTTGTCTAATTGAGAATTTCTTTTTCATATTATGTATCAACGTTAATTAAAAACGTTATGTCATATGATAAACAAATTATATTACATCGTGGTAATAATTGATGGAATTGATTTAACGGAAAAAATACGAGTCAACAAGAAGAACTGATAAAATAAGAAAAGAAAAAAAGCCTTCATGGACCTGCACAAAACAGAAGGCGAAGCCTGGTGTAAAACGGTAGACGTGTGACGCACGTTCACGATGTGTTTATTTCATAAAGTATGTCAGTTATCTTATATACAAGATACAAGAATTTGTATTTAACGTCACATATTTAAAACAATGAAGTTTAGCACTGTAGTGCTATTCTTTCGGCTATCTATATTATTTCATAAGACAGATTTTACTTTTCTATAAACGATATTTATGTATTATATAAGACAGCTTACACAATTTTTCTTTTAGTCTAAACAATATTTTTTTTTATTCATGAATACAAATTGACAGCAAACTCATAGCTCATGTCAGTTATCTCCCTTTTGACGTCTCTAACAATGGAAAATACACAGATACTTAACATTTTACAAAAATTGAAGTTGAATATTATTTTGTAACGAAGTAAATGAATTGCAGTCATATATATACAAATATAGGTATAGCATAGTACACTATAAGCATACATGTGTACTCATTTTTTAACAGATTGATATTTATAATAAACTTTGAACACATTGGAGAAAGAAACAAAGTCTGACAAGTATGTTTACTTTACCCTGCTACTACAGCTCTTTGCTCGAATAAACAAGGAGAAAGTCGTACAAATTGACGAAACATCTAACAACATTAGGCTGTCTGTAAAACTGACTCCGTGAAGTTCTCGGTTTGTTGGACAAGAATGCGATTCTCTTATGCAACACCAGATTTTCCTGACAACATGATATTGATAAATGACAGATTGCATTCGAATTAATTGGTGTATCAAATAAGCGCTCAGACTGCTGATTTACTTCCCTGCGTTCAGTTTAGGAAACGCACATGTACTTGCAAATAAAGTCTCATTGCGGGATATTTAACTTCATGAAATCATGATGTAGGTTAACATAACTTGCAGACCTTAATTCCATTGTTATCTTAAATAACATACACCTATTTAAATATTTATATACTGTTTATAACTATACTGAATTTAAACAACCATTGAATAATCTGATATATTAGTCTATTCTGTCTAAAACTGGCAAAGTGGTGAATAGAAAAAACAGACTAATTTTGTACACATCTAGCTACTATCAAAACACCGAAGTCATTGTTCGTATGATAGTTTGTACGTCTGCAGCATGTGTTTTGAATAAAGCCAAAAAAATGTGTAATTTTAAATCGGGTCGCTATGAATGCTAGATCAAATTTTGTATTTCCAAATGACAAGTGTTCTAACAGGTAATGCATTTTCCTTGAATACCAGCAATAATGTTTGCATCTCATCTTTCTTCCGGACTTGCTTTTCAAGACACCTTAGACGTCTTTTCGTTGATTTTACACTTTGACCTTTATAAAAATAAAGGTAACTTCTATACCAAACGGTAAAACAAATGTGACGGCTTTAACTTCAAGGTCGATACAAATGTCCTTTCCTCAGCAGTAACATACCTGACTCTTCTGCGTAAGTGCTTTCTATATGATTTACTAATTACGAGCCTGTTATAATCTGGTTATAAACCTATACAATATGATTCACTGATTAAGAGCCTGTTATAATCTGGTTATAAACCGATACTATATGATTAACTAATTAAGAGCCTGTTATAATCTGGTTATAAACCGATACTATATGATTGACTAATTAAGAGCCTGTAATAATCTGGTTATAAACCAATACTATATGATTAACTAATTAAGAGCCTGTTATAATCTGGTTATAAACCGATACTATATGATTGACTAATTAAGAGCCTGTAATAATCTGGTTATAAACCAATACTATATGATTCACTAATTAAGAGCCTGTTATAATCTGGTTATAAACCGATACTATATGATTGACTATTTAAGAGCCTGTAATAATCTGGTTATCAACCAATACTATATGATTCACTAATTAATAGCCTGTTATAATCTGGTTATAAACCGGTACTATATGGTTCACTATTTCAGAGCCTGTTATTAGGCTTATCAGGTTATTACCGATACCATGGTTATATAACTATGGTTTACAATCGCTTCAGTTTACGCTTAAACGATTCATGCCGTAGCCATGCCTGATTTTCAGCTTTAGAGAATTCAGTGTCAATAATGACCAAATATGTATTCAACTTTTCTTGTACCGTTGATAACGGATATTATCCTATGTATTTGCTGAGAGACATTGTGATGTCGGCAAGATTTGTTTACAGGACTCATCCTAGCAGTTGTAACTGGTGGTGTAGTGAACGGTAATGATTCCGGAACACCTGGGTTTCCTCTCTGTTTTCTTTCTTTTCTATTGTGGGTGTGCGTGATATAAAGTATTTTGTTTTTTTTTCTTGTTGTTGTATTTTTTCTTTCGGATTGACTATGTGAAGTCTTATTTTAGTGTTATGTGTTGAGGTTTGGTTTATATGTTTGAACACATAATAGTTGGTATTCAGTTAATACAAATATTACTGAGCTTCATATTAACGGTAATACGGATCATTAACACAGCCAATGATTTGTCATAGAGAGTTGTTATTGTTCTTATCTGTGTATACTATGTGCTAAATAGGACAGACGTCCCTTATCTAGGGAACACATCGTCTAACAAATCCAACATGGCTGCCGTTTCGATGTATGAAATATTTTGTGTACTGCTGGTCCTAACCGTTACGACACAAGGTACTGCTAAATGAGAATAAGTACTATAACCTATCAAAGCTGTACAGCAAAGCTTTAGAGCAGGCATATATAGGAATTATCTCCCTTGCATTGCATGTCGATTGTACTTTGTAGGTTTACATTTACATTATGTGATACATATAACGTATACATTAATTTAGTATCTTGCTAGTATCTCGCATTGGTCATTGAGGTTTTGGTCAGTAAAGTAAAGTCTTTAGTCCTTGTATTGACTTACATTGGTCAGTGAGTCTAGGTCTCCACTTCATGTTACAGTGTCTGACGATTGTTTTACATTGGTCAGCAAGGTTAGGTCTTTGGTCACCAATGATATGTCTTGGTCGTTGAAGTTGGGTCTTTCCCCCTTTTTCAGATTCTTGCTATTGACTTACATTGGTCAGTGTTGTTTGCTTTGGTCACTGAGATCAGGTATTAACTCATTGTTTCAGTGTCTTGCTAATGTTTCACATTGGTCAGTGAGGTTAGGTCGTGTGGTCGATGTCTTTCTTTTCGATTAGGTCAGGGCATTGGTCAGTGAAATAAGTTCTTTGCCCATTGTTTTGGTGTCTGGCGACTGTTTTACATTGATCAGTGAGGTTAGGTCGTGTGGTCAGTGTCTGACGCTGGTCGGTTAGGTTAGGTTAATGGTCAGTGAAATAAGTTCTTTGCCTATTGTTTCAGTGTCTGGTGACTGTCCGAGTGGCTTTCTGGTACATGCGAATTCCTGCTACATGGATTTTAACATCCAGGCCACGTGGGCTGAGGCCTCGGTAAGTACACGTGGTATTTTTATTTTTATTATTTACGGGCACTGTTCCATATATTATTTTATTTATTTTACATAAGTAACGAAATAATTTACTGAGTTATAATGAGTATTGCGAATGTTTAGTGTTTAGAACCTATATGATGATATTGATTGTACATTACAAGATCCGAAGTCAGGATCAGCATATATTGTTGGGTTGTCTAATAAAGTACTACTAAAGATTTTACGGTCGACGTTAACTATAGAGGTTCAGTAATAATAATTATTAAAGTTTAACTTCATTGTCTCAAATCTTTGGTGACCTGCATGTTTTACTGAATGTAACATATAACCGTTGTCACATGTGGTGAAGGAAACGTTAATCCTTCTATAGTACCACATTTTACCTTCGTTTGTGTGTGGAGTTCATTGTGTCATAGATCATTTTCCCTGTTTCTTTGGTTACCATTGATCTTTAATCGACTTTGTGGTATTTTTTTGTTCCGCATATGTTAACAAAATGGTATAATGTGTTGTGTATTTATAGATTTTTTTTAACCTTTTGGTTGACGCTGTGATACCCTGTTAGTTGACGTTGTTTAATATTGTGTCCTTGTGTGTTGATGCCGTTATTTATAGTGACATTGTGCGTTCACGTTATCTTATATTGTGTCATTGTATGTTGATGCTATGGTATATTGTGTCCCTGTGTGTTGACGCTGTGGTATATTGTGTCCTTGTGTGTTGACGCTGTGGTATATTGTGTCCTTGTATGTTGTCGCTTTGTTTTATTATGTCTTTGTATGTCGAGGCTGTGGTATATTGTGTCATTGTATGTTGTCGCTGTGTTATATTGTGTCCTTGTATTTTGTCGCTGTGTTATATTGTGTCCTTGTATGGTGTCGCTGTGTTATATTGTGTCCTTGTATGTTAACGCTGTGTTATATTGTGTCCTTGTATGTTGTCGCTGTGTTATATTGTGTCCTTGTATGGTGTCGCTGTGTTATATTGTGTCCTTGTATGGTGTCGCTGTGTTATATTGTGTCCTTGTATGTTGTCGCTGTGTTATATTGTGTCCTTGTATGTTGTCGCTGTGTTATATTGTGTCCTTGTATGTTGTCGCTGTGTTATATTGTGTCCTTGTATGTTGTCGCTGTGTTATATTGTGTCCTTGTATGTTGTCGCTGTGTTATATTGTGTCCTTGTATGTTGTCGCTGTGTTATATTGTGTCCTTGTATGTTGTCGCTGTGTTATATTGTGTCCTTGTATGTTGTCGCTGTGTTATATTGTGTCCTTGTATGTTGTCGCTGTGTTATATTGTGTCCTTGTATGTTGTCGCTGTGTTATATTGTGTCCTTGTATGTTGTCGCTGTGTTATATTGTGTCCTTGTATGTTGTCGCTGTGTTATATTGTGTCCTTGTATGTTGTCGCTGTGTTATATTGTGTCCTTGTATGTTGTCGCTGTGTTATATTGTGTCCTTGTATGTTGTCGCTGTGTTATATTGTGTCCTTGTATGTTGTCGCTGTGTTATATTGTGTCCTTGTATGTTGTCGCTGTGTTATATTGTGTCCTTGTATGTTGTCGCTGTGTTATATTGTGTCCTTGTATGTTGTCGCTGTGTTATATTGTGTCCTTGTATGTTGTCGCTGTGTTATATTGTGTCCTTGTATGTTGTCGCTGTGTTATATTGTGTCCTTGTATGTTGTCGCTGTGTTATATTGTGTCCTTGTATGTTGTCGCTGTGTTATATTGTGTCCTTGTATGTTGTCGCTGTGTTATATTGTGTCCTTGTATGTTGTCGCTGTGTTATATTGTGTCCTTGTATGTTGTCGCTGTGTTATATTGTGTCCTTGTATGTTGTCGCTGTGTTATATTGTGTCCTTGTATGTTGTCGCTGTGTTATATTGTGTCCTTGTATGTTGTCGCTGTGTTATATTGTGTCCTTGTATGTTGTCGCTGTGTTATATTGTGTCCTTGTATGTTGTCGCTGTGTTATATTGTGTCCTTGTATGTTGTCGCTGTGTTATATTGTGTCCTTGTATGTTGTCGCTGTGTTATATTGTGTCCTTGTATGTTGTCGCTGTGTTATATTGTGTCCTTGTATGTTGTCGCTGTGTTATATTGTGTCCTTGTATGTTGTCGCTGTGTTATATTGTGTCCTTGTATGTTGTCGCTGTGTTATATTGTGTCCTTGTATGTTGTCGCTGTGTTATATTGTGTCCTTGTATGTTGTCGCTGTGTTATATTGTGTCCTTGTATGTTGTCGCTGTGTTATATTGTGTCCTTGTATGTTGTCGCTGTGTTATATTGTGTCCTTGTATGTTGTCGCTGTGTTATATTGTGTCCTTGTATGTTGTCGCTGTGTTATATTGTGTCCTTGTATGTTGTCGCTGTGTTATATTGTGTCCTTGTATGTTGTCGCTGTGTTATATTGTGTCCTTGTATGTTGTCGCTGTGTTATATTGTGTCCTTGTATGTTGTCGCTGTGTTATATTGTGTCCTTGTATGTTGTCGCTGTGTTATATTGTGTCCTTGTATGTTGTCGCTGTGTTATATTGTGTCCTTGTATGTTGTCGCTGTGTTATATTGTGTCCTTGTATGTTGTCGCTGTGTTATATTGTGTCCTTGTATGTTGTCGCTGTGTTATATTGTGTCCTTGTATGTTGTCGCTGTGTTATATTGTGTCCTTGTATGTTGTCGCTGTGTTATATTGTGTCCTTGTATGTTGTCGCTGTGTTATATTGTGTCCTTGTATGTTGTCGCTGTGTTATATTGTGTCCTTGTATGTTGTCGCTGTGTTATATTGTGTCCTTGTATGTTGTCGCTGTGTTATATTGTGTCCTTGTATGTTGTCGCTGTGTTATATTGTGTCCTTGTATGGTGTCGCTGTGTTATATTGTGTCCTTGTATGTTGTCGCTGTGTTATATTGTGTCCTTGTATGTTGTCGCTGTGTTATATTGTGTCCTTGTATGTTGTCGCTGTGTTATATTGTGTCCTTGTATGTTGTCGCTGTGTTATATTGTGTCCTTGTATGTTGTCGCTGTGTTATATTGTGTCCTTGTATGTTGTCGCTGTGTTATATTGTGTCCTTGTATGTTGTCGCTGTGTTATATTGTGTCCTTGTATGTTGTCGCTGTGTTATATTGTGTCCTTGTATGTTGTCGCTGTGTTATATTGTGTCCTTGTATGTTGTCGCTGTGTTATATTGTGTCCTTGTATGTTGTCGCTGTGTTATATTGTGTCCTTGTATGTTGTCGCTGTGTTATATTGTGTCCTTGTATGTTGTCGCTGTGTTATATTGTGTCCTTGTATGTTGTCGCTGTGTTATATTGTGTCCTTGTATGTTGTCGCTGTGTTATATTGTGTCCTTGTATGTTGTCGCTGTGTTATATTGTGTCCTTGTATGTTGTCGCTGTGTTATATTGTGTCCTTGTATGTTGTCGCTGTGTTATATTGTGTCCTTGTATGTTGTCGCTGTGTTATATTGTGTCCTTGTATGTTGTCGCTGTGTTATATTGTGTCCTTGTATGTTGTCGCTGTGTTATATTGTGTCCTTGTATGTTGTCGCTGTGTTATATTGTGTCCTTGTATGTTGTCGCTGTGTTATATTGTGTCCTTGTATGTTGTCGCTGTGTTATATTGTGTCCTTGTATGTTGTCGCTGTGTTATATTGTGTCCTTGTATGTTGTCGCTGTGTTATATTGTGTCCTTGTATGTTGTCGCTGTGTTATATTGTGTCCTTGTATGTTGTCGCTGTGTTATATTGTGTCCTTGTATGTTGTCGCTGTGTTATATTGTGTCCTTGTATGTTGTCGCTGTGTTATATTGTGTCCTTGTATGTTGTCGCTGTGTTATATTGTGTCCTTGTATGTTGTCGCTGTGTTATATTGTGTCCTTGTATGTTGTCGCTGTGTTATATTGTGTCCTTGTATGGTGTCGCTGTGTTATATTGTGTCCTTGTATGTTGTCGCTGTGTTATATTGTGTCCTTGTATGTTGTCGCTGTGTTATATTGTGTCCTTGTATGTTGTCGCTGTGTTATATTGTGTCCTTGTATGTTGTCGCTGTGTTATATTGTGTCCTTGTATGTTGTCGCTGTGTTATATTGTGTCCTTGTATGTTGTCGCTGTGTTATATTGTGTCCTTGTATGTTGTCGCTGTGTTATATTGTGTCCTTGTATGTTGTCGCTGTGTTATATTGTGTCCTTGTATGTTGTCGCTGTGTTATATTGTGTCCTTGTATGTTGTCGCTGTGTTATATTGTGTCCTTGTATGTTGTCGCTGTGTTATATTGTGTCCTTGTATGTTGTCGCTGTGTTATATTGTGTCCTTGTATGTTGTCGCTGTGTTATATTGTGTCCTTGTATGTTGTCGCTGTGTTATATTGTGTCCTTGTATGTTGTCGCTGTGTTATATTGTGTCCTTGTATGTTGTCGCTGTGTTATATTGTGTCCTTGTATGTTGTCGCTGTGTTATATTGTGTCCTTGTATGTTGTCGCTGTGTTATATTGTGTCCTTGTATGTTGTCGCTGTGTTATATTGTGTCCTTGTATGTTGTCGCTGTGTTATATTGTGTCCTTGTATGTTGTCGCTGTGTTATATTGTGTCCTTGTATGTTGTCGCTGTGTTATATTGTGTCCTTGTATGTTGTCGCTGTGTTATATTGTGTCCTTGTATGTTGTCGCTGTGTTATATTGTGTCCTTGTATGTTGTCGCTGTGTTATATTGTGTCCTTGTATGGTGTCGCTGTGTTATATTGTGTCCTTGTATGTTGTCGCTGTGTTATATTGTGTCCTTGTATGTTGTCGCTGTGTTATATTGTGTCCTTGTATGTTGTCGCTGTGTTATATTGTGTCCTTGTATGTTGTCGCTGTGTTATATTGTGTCCTTGTATGTTGTCGCTGTGTTATATTGTGTCCTTGTATGTTGTCGCTGTGTTATATTGTGTCCTTGTATGTTGTCGCTGTGTTATATTGTGTCCTTGTATGTTGTCGCTGTGTTATATTGTGTCCTTGTATG